TGTGTGTGTGTGTGTGTGTGTGTGTGTGTGTGTGTGTGTGTGTGTGTCTGTATGTGTCTGTATGTGTCTGTGTGTTTGTGTGTCTTGTGTGATGTGTTTCCTGTTGTCCTCACTGAATCTCCCTGGTGGTCCCAGCTCCCCACCCACATCTCTAATCCCTTGGCAGGGAGTCAGTGCTGTTCTTAAAGGCCTCTGTTCTCCAAGGCCTCGGGTGGACCCTCTCCCCCGCTTCCCTTCAGTGCAGGCCGTGGGCCGAGGGTTCTGAGGAGGCTTTTTATATCTCCTGCCTCCAGTTGTACTCAAAGCACCCTATGGCAGGCACAGAGAGGTGAAGGAGGTTGCCCAGGGTCACAGAGCAAGATAGTACCAGAGCAGGCACGAACCTCCTAGACTTTTGGAGGGTTAACCTGGCAGACAGTTTGGGGGAAGGAGGCCCAACCCATCATCCCCCATCTGCGGTTGTGGCACCTTAAGAACGTTCCTTGTTATTTTATTCCAAGCTGGGGGCTGAGTTGAGGCTACCACTGAGGGTTGGGAATACTCCTTACTATACCAGCAGTTGAGTTGAAACAGGGCCCAGGGCTGAGGTTTGAATCTTGGATGTACTACCAGCTTGCTGTGTGACCTGGGGTTGGCCATCCCCCTGTCTCTGTGCCCACCTTTCCTACAAAGTGGGGCGGATTTGCTGCACCTCTCAAGGTATCGTGAGGATACAATGGATGTAGAAATACTGTGAAAACTATTAAGAATGTGAGGGAGTCTGGGCGCGGTGGCTCACACCTGTAATCCCAGCACTCTGGGAGGCTGAGGTGGGAGGATCACTTGAGGCCAGGAGTTCAAGATCAGCCAGGGCAACATAGCGCGATCCTATCTCTTTAAAAAAAAAAAAAAAAAGGTGGGGGAAATGTTACTGTTTGAAGACAGGAGACCAACTATGTGCCCCCACGTCACTCTGGTGCCTCTCAGCCACTCCAGAGGGGGCTCCCAGAGCACAGGGGTACTTTTCCCTGGGCAGCCTGTGCTCTGCTGCCAACCGGCTACTGAGGCCTCCTTGCATTGCTACAGTCTTTTGGGAAACAAGGTAACAACCTTTTGTTAAAGAATAAATACATTGTTTTCCCTGCAGAGTTGGAGAGGCCGGGAAAGAACAGGGTTTGAAGCATGAGAGGGCTACAGGGTGGGCTTGGCAGAATGTTCTGGGCATTGGCCCAGAAAACCAGCTTGGCCAAGTCCACACTTTCGTGTCTACAGTGAGAGAGGAACTATGAGCAAATGTTTACAACTCTTTGTGCTTCTGCTCAATTTTCTTCTCTCCAATTGACTGGGTAAGCCCCCCCGCCATAGTCAAAGTGCTTCATTCATTCGTTCATTCACTCACTCACCAAACAAGTCTGCCCGGCACAACGCGAGGCATGGGGGCTGTGGTCAGTGTGCGTGAGACTGAGGTCTCTCTCTCCCACAGTCTGATGGACAGCTAGGCACGCAAATGAACCGCAGCAAATTACAAATGCAATTACTGTTGTCAAGGAGACACGAGGGGGGCTGTGGGAGTGGACTGGAAACCTGACCTGAGGATCAGAAAAGGCTCCCTGCAAAGCAGCAGCATAAAGAATGAGTGGGACTGGGAAGAGGGTTCTGGGTGGGGAGCAGAAGGCGCAAGAGGACAGACAGACCACTGCTTCAGGAATGGCTCATCTGCAGGCGCAGAGGACCATGCTTAGGACGGGGCCCTGGAGGGTGCACTCAGAGATGGTCATATTAAGGACCTGGGGCTCAATCCTCAGTGCAGTGGGAGCCACTCAGGAGTTTATTTATTTATTTATTTATTTTATTTTATTATTTTTTTGAGACGGAGTTTCACTCATGTTACCCAGGCTGGAGTGCAATGGCGCGATCTCGGCTCACCGCAACCTCCGCCTCCCGGGTTCAAGCAATTCTCCTACCTCAGCCTCCTGAGTAGCTGGGATTACAGGCACGCACCACCATGCCCAGCTAATTTTTTGTATTTTTAATAGAGACGGGGTTTCACCATGTTGACCAGGATGGTCTCGATCTCTTGACCTCGTGATCCACCCGCCTCGGCCTCCCAAAGTGCTGGGATTACAGGTTTGAGCCACCGCGCCCG